GGGGGGAAGGGGGCTGCCAAACTTCCGTCGACTTTCTATGAAGTGTGCGTAGAGGGTAGTTGGGTCGTTGCTACTGGTGTGCTGGGCTGTGTGCGTCCCTCTGTCGTTGGGATTGCGACCGAAAACGATTCCAGCAGCAGACAGACGCATGCAACCGGCAGGCCAGGCAGCGGGCAACCATTCACACACATGCGTGTGTCTTTGTGTGTGTATTGGATGAGATGAGTATGTTCTGTAACATAAGTCCGTAAGTACGTACGTACCTAGGGTACAAAGGGATGAGAGCGATGGGCTGAAGGAAGGATTACAGAATGGGTCGATGCCGTAGAAAGCCAGGGCTGTCTGTATTCTGTGTTGTGCTGTGTGTGTGTATGTACATTTTCCGAGGCCTGCCTGCAGGCACTGGCTGCCCATCTCACACGTCGGTCGCTGGAGCCACGTCTGTATTTTTCCCCGCCACACTGCCTGCCTGCCTGCCCGTCCGTCTGCCCCTCTGCCCAGCTGCCTGGCTGTGGGTACTGAGTGTGCTGTGGATGGGGATGAATGGATACCCACTCCCACATACAGATCACTCTCACGTTCACGATTCGGTGCGTGCGCCTCCTCTGTCTCTCTATCTATTTTTCTGTATCTGATCGGTTGTGGATGCCTTTTTCCTCGGCGGGCGTCTGGGGTGGGGCGACCGACTCACGAGTGCGTCGTGAATATGCCTAGCTGCCTGCCTGCCTGGCTGCCTGCCTGCATTCCTGGTTTGTGGTAGTGGTGGTGGTTGGCGCACACACAAGCATATGTAGGCAGCTGAGTTGCTCGCTGCTCTTTTTCATCATGTCTAGATGTAGGGCGGAAGAAAGCATGAGAGAGATATCGATCTGGCTGTATCGTCCGCACACGCACACCATCATCAGTTCTGGTAGTTGGTGACAGTCCGGATGAGACACGAGTACGATCACGCGAGTAATGTCCATGCGACCGACAGATGATCCATCAATTTATCCTCGAGTGTGTGTGCGTTCAATCCATCCATTCATTCATCCGTCCATTCGCTACCCATTCACTCGCCTGCATTGTAAGAAATCCATCCACGAATATAAAATGTAGGCAACGATACTCGTTCGCCTCTCTGTCACCCTCCCTCATACTTAAGTCCTGTACTCTCCTCTGCAATGACTGCCTCCCACCTCTGTTCCCGACCTCCCGCTGCTCGACCTCCTCTTTAGTGACCCACGGCAGAAAACACAGCTGTCACGGCAGAAAACACAGCTGTCGGTCGGGACGTTCCCTACGCACTACGCACTACGCAGCCACACACGTGAACCCCCCCCTGCCCGCCATCTACTGGCGGGCGCAGGAGAAGAGGCGCCCCCACCACCCCGCGTACCCCCCCTGCCGCGCAAACTCAACGGATTCGCGCTTGGGGAGGGGCACCCAATGGGGCTGGTGGTGGTGGGGAGGTGGCATGAGTGGGGGCGGCATCAGTGGGGGTGGCATGTAGGGGGCGAAGATGTACGGCGGCGGGGGCGGCGGGAAGAAGACCATCGGCAGGGCCTGGAAGTGCACGTGTGGGTGTGGTGCTGCTGGGGTGCCGCGACGGCTGGGGGCATGGCGGCCATGGTGGGCGCAGGTTGTGGTGCCAACTGTGGCGGTGCCTGACAAACCACACGCGTACACACGTACACACACATGACTGTCACCTGGACACTTTATGAGAGTTCTCGCTCGTCAGTCAGTGTCGTGTTGTGTTGTGTGTCATGCCCACCTGCTGGTTTGCCACCGCCGCCGCTGGCCCCTGGGCCGCCTCCCACGCAGTCAGGTCGGCACGCACCAGCTCGGCCACCTGTCTGGCCTGCTGTGTGGCCTCCCTCGCCGCGGCGGTCGCTGCCAGTGCCCCCATCTTCCTCCTGCCGCTGGCCTGCTGCCCACCATCGCTGCTGTTGCTGCTGTCGCTGCTGTCGCTGCTGTCGCTGCTGTCGCTGGATGAGCTGCTGCTGAATGGTGTCTTGGGCGCGACGTGCTTCCCTCGTCACCCTCACCCCCAGTTACACAACCCCCATCAGCAGCAGCGGCCTTGGGCTCCGACCTCGGTGGCGCAGAAAGGGTGGGCGTGGGTGTGGGTGGGGGCATGTTGGGTGTGATATAAAATGTCGGCGGTGATGGATCGCCGGCACACCTGAAGTCACATCGAGACACAATGACAAACAAAAGATATTGCTGTGTCTCGGTCTCTCCCCGCCCTGAGCCTCGCACCTTCCCGCGCCAGGAATGAGGCTGCTGGCTGTCGAGGACCTCGACCTCCCTTGGGCGCCTCTTGGCTGCGGCTGCAGGCGGCGGGGCGACGGTCTCGTCCGGCAGGGCGAAGCCGGCAATCTGATGGATGGATGGATGGGCCACACCCATAACATGACACGGAGGGAGGAGTTCACACACGTATGATGTGGGGGGTGTATTGGTTGTGTTAATTGACGGATGCGATGCAGACAGACCTGGATGACGTTCTTGAGCGTGGTCTTCTCCCTCTTCTCAACATTGCCGCCGCTCTTGACTCTGCACACACACACAGACAGACAGACAGACAGACAGTGACGCCCCCTTATCACCCCACACGTCTGCATATGTGTCTTACGGGCGCGTGTTGGGCTGCTTACATGTTGATGAGTGTGTTGATTTGGGTCTGGATGCGCCGGTAGTCGCGCGACGGCAGCTCTCCGAAGGGCAGCGACGTCACCATGTCGACCAACTGGCGGAACCTGAACTGGAAACTCTGCCGCCTGCCGTCTGCACGCACACCACACACACACACACACACATGATGGATGGATGGATGGATGAATCGATGGGTGTGTCAGACGTCCGTCGCCACTCACCAGGCATCTGGTTGGTCTGCTCAGTCAGCCACTTGTCCACAGCGGCCTGTCGGGTGTGGATCAACTCCTCGCAGACCTCCTCCCACACGGGGATGTCTTGCGTGTGCCAGTGGTGGTCCAGCACGTCGGTGACCTCCTCGGCCTTGGCGTACCACTCGGCGGCCAGCTTGGCGCGCATCCTCTGACAGAGAATGGAACAGCCGGGAAAGAGACATCAGCGAATGCTCATGAGCCTCTTCCTTTATCCTTCACTCACTGACCTTTGGGGCCGCCGGGATGCCACTATGCGATCCATGCACACCAGCCGGCGTCAATGGGGTAGGAGAGGCCCACAGATATAAAACGTAGACAGCGATCCATCTGCACACACAGACACGGGGCGTGTTGATCAGTCGGCTTTGAGCGCTCACACACATACCCCTTGCAGATGGCTGGAACAAGGCAGCGATCCAAAGTTGTCATCGGTCGTCAAATATAAGATGTAGACAGCGATATCTGAAGGCAAATAGATCACATGGCCCGTCGACGGCCTCGAGGAAGAGTGCATTGTCGTGGAGGCGTTTGTCGCGGTCGTCAGGCACAAAGGACCTTGCGACTCCTCGTCAAGACGCCGCTGGTCTGCTTACCTACCCCAGCCACAACAGCAAGAGAGATGCACTCCGGGATCGCTCACCGCATCCATGCATCCATCACATGTGTGTGTGGGTGGTCAGGTACCTGTGCTTCGAGAGTATGACGGCCCTCATCTCTCCATTCAGATCAACACGCCGCAGGTGAGTGGGCTTCTCTTCCTCATCCACACCCACACCCACAGCAACTTGACCCTCGTCTACATCCATCTTGGCCAAGCCAGACCCCTCCCCACCACCACCTCCACCAACACTTCCTGAGCTTACCCGAATATCGAATGAATCTACCCCCTCCCTCCTTC